CCTCCACTCAAAATAACCATCCTATGGTCACCCGCTCCAAGGTCGGAATCTCTCGTCCCAAACATATCCTTAACATTAATATCACTGCCTATATATCCCCTTTTACCTTCACCTATCATAGTGCGCTTAAAGACCGAAACTGGTATGATGCTATGTGTGATAAATTTAATGCTTTGATAAAAAACGACACACGAGAATTGGTACTCCTCCCCTACTCAAAATATTATCTCTAGAACGTGGCTTTTTCCCCATACATTTGACCTTACACGTGAACTTTCTAAGTACAAAACGCGGTTTGTGGTTCGTGGATTCGACCAACGCTTTGGTATTCACTATGAGGAGACATTTAGCCCGTTGTCAAACTGGTGACCGTACGACTTGTTCTCAGCCTTACTCTTTCCCATGGGTGGCCCATTCATCAGCTAGACGTCAAGAATTCCTTTCTATATGGAATCCTTCAGGAGACAGTCTATGCCAACCAGTCGTCCGGTTTTTAGGATCCCTCCCGGTCACATTAGGTCTGCTAGCTCAAAAGGCCTAATATGGGCGAAAGCAAGCACCTCATTCTTGGTATCATAAGTTTGGGGGGATTTCAACCGACATTGGTGTTCCGTGGCTTTAAGACCAACACATCTCTATTTGTTTACACCATGGGACCAACTGGCCTTCCTGCTACTTTATGTGGATGACATTTTTCTCATTGTATCATCATCTTTGTTGCTCCACTAGATAACTTAATAGCTAAAAGGGGAATTTTATATGACCGATATGGGGGGTTTCCATTTTTTCTTTGGCATTAATATCTAGCGCACGACAGAAGACCTCTTCCTCCATAGTTTTCACATGAGATACTGGAGCGGGCCAGCATGCTCACTTGCAAGTTCGTTTACACCCTAGTTGACACAAATGCAAGAATGACAGGCACCTCTAGCACTCCTAGTTATGATCCTACTCTATTTCACTCCATTGATGGTGCCTTGTAGTGCCTCACTTTCACTCACCCAGATCTCACCTATGCCGTTCAGCAGCTCTCTGTTTCTCACTCCCATGAAACGAGTCCTCCGTTATCTCTGTGGTACAGTTACTCACGAAAACACTCTCTCTTTATCTTGCACCAGCATTCACTCTTTGCAGGCTTATTCTGATGCGGATTGGGTTCGTTGTCCTGACACTCGTCGGTCCACCTCTGGCTACTTGTGCTTCTTGGGGTCGGGGACAATCTTATCTCTTTGTCATCCAAGAGGCAAATCACTACGTCTCGTTCTAGTGCAGAGGCCGACTGTTGGGCCTTGCGAATGCCGTTACCGAGACCAGTTGGATATAGAATCTCCTCCTGGAGCTGCAACAACTTCTGCACCGCACCACATTCGTCTTCTATGATAACATCACAAAGCATGTTGAGGTTGATATTCACTTTTTATGAGACAAAGTTACCCTTGTCATGTTCAAGTTCTTCACATACCTTTTTCCTTATAGTATGCAAACATTTTTACTAGAGGGCTCCCATCACTTCTTTTTTGCCGATTCCAGACAGGGTCTTGGCGTCTGTTCGTCGCCGACAATGTAGCCGGGAGTATTTTAAGTATATCCATATATATTTAATATATATTTAATATCACTCCCTATATGGTAGTTACCGTTATTACGAAATATAGTAATTGAATAATCAAAGCAAACAAAAAACGTAAAGACACACAGATTTCACGTGGTTCACCAATGTTGTGTTGGCTACGTCCACAAGCAAGAACGGAAGCAGATTGTATTATGACAGCGGTTCTAGAGTACATAGATTTTTTGCCCTACCTCTATATAAATAGCACACAAGACGGACTAGGCCCAATACAATAATTAGAGCCCAATACAATAACATAGCATACCCCCGTTTCCTCATTTGCGTAGCGGCAAACAATACAGGTTCAAGGCATATTAACAGTTACCTTATTTTTTTAGTATTAATTCAGTATTCGTTAAGTGTTTTTTCAAACAATATTTTTTATGCTTTTGACAGGTTCAAATATGAAGAGGGGGGCATGCACTTTCTTAAATATTGTTTCTATTTTGTATTATTAGTGTTTATAAAAAAATTACCCTAAATAAGAGTAAAATATGGAGCTCATATTTTAGTATTTTCTTCATATGTTACTCATAGTTTAGTCTTTTTCCCTTATTTCTATTTGGTGCGTGTATTATTCTGCGTTGTTTGTACGTTTGCCGTATTTCAAAAATCCTACAATGAATACATGTAATTTTCACCTGATAAAATTTTGGATGGGGGTAAGGGTCACTTGGGCGGGCCATAAGACACTTATATGGAACCACATTAGAAGACTGAATCCAAGTGATTACTTAGTTTAACTCAAGAGCTTATATAATGAATACTTTTTTATTCAATTTTTTATGTAGGATACGTTAACACTCTGCACAAGTTGACAAGCGAGTCAGTTTCAATCTAACCGGTTGACAACATGTAAATGGACTCCCCCTCCCTAAGAAATAAAAGATCAAAAGTACAAACAACTAAAATACCATGAATCATTAGATATGGACTTCCAAACAAACAATCAAATTATATGGGCCACAAACCATTTTTTTGTATGAACAACAGGGTTAAAGACTAATGGGCCGTTAAAAATATACTTCTAGACAAACACATTAACGAATGAGGTGAGCTAAAACTAGTTGTGATACCATGATACAATTTGATAATGTTGGTCTTAATGAGTAATAAAGGTTGCATCAAGAATTGCAAGAGTCATAGTAGAATATAATAACAATTATAGAAGTAATAAAATAAGGAAAAAATGATAATAATATTTATTTCTCATTATTCTTAATATCTGTAATAAAACATCACAGTAATTCATGCCACATTAATACAAAACATTTCAATTTTAGTCCACATACTTCAACAAATATTCCAGTAGATGATTTCCATGTTTGGTCTTTCAATTTGCTTCGGCATTGGTGTAAAATCATCAATTTGAGAAGGATTCTACAATGGAGAATTCACAAACTTGATCGGGATGATAATTTACTTCTCAAAAGAGGAAAGTCAACGTGTTAGCGGATGTAATTAGGTCTTGGTATTATTGGGCCTCTTAGTGTACTCATAATTAAGCTAGAGTTATGCTTGTATAAATAAGGTATTTGTGACCGATGAAATCATCCAATTCAGTTTAGTTCTAATAACATTTTTACATGGTATCCGAGCCAACATGGTCTTTTCAATCAGATGGTTCCTCAAGTGAAGTCTTCAAATCAATCTTTTAGATATTAGGAGTTTCTTCAATCAATCAGATCTGGTTCCGTAGCTCCATCATTGGTCAATCTGGTTCTTTTGGTCCCGTGCACAAGAGCGGCTGCAAAGTTTTGTTCTTTTGGTGGTTGGTGTTCACCCAATCACAAAATTGGTTGGTTATTGGTCTTGTTTTGCTCCAGCAAACAAAAAAATGGTTTATGTACTGAGTCTTTCGCCCATTAAGTTTTGATGATTTGATGACATAAATTTTTGGTTGCTTTTGGTATGTTCAGCTGCAACCAGCTGTATATACGACATGTCAGCTTATGGAGTCGGTCGTCGAACTCCTATCTGGCAACACTCAATCCAGGTTTTGAGAGTCACACATCATCAGTTTTGGTTGTTCGTTTGCTTGATCAGACGCCTTTGTCCATTGTTGTTACAACTAACCAAGTTTAAAGTTGTGTCCAAAGTTGTTTATCGAGTTGTTTCTTGTTTGGTCAGAATTGTCCAAATTGTGCATTCGCTAACCTCATGCTCGACATGGGGGAGTTTTAACAGATAATTAAGTCTTGGTATTATTGGGCTTATTAGTGAGCTCGTAATTACGTTAGAGTTATGCTTGTAAAAATAAGTTGTTTGTGATCAATGAAATCATCCCATTCAGTTCAGTTCTAATAATATTTCTACACAACTCACTTTTTATTCAAAATAAAAAACTGCGCCAACTTATTACGGGAAGAAAGATTTGGGATTGAAGAAGTAATACAATGAAATAAGTATCTAAAACAATCACAGAACAAATCTAATTACATTTTTTGTACTTATATACAATACGATTTTTATTAAATAAACGATTAATAATGTTTGTCTAATTTGAATAAAAAAAATCAGATTGAATGAATAAAGACATGAATAGTACCACTAAAATGTCCAAACTTAATTTATTTTACAAGAGTCATACTTGGTGCCCCAATCATGCGGCTAGCCCATGCGGGCCAAGCTCAAATTCTAATTAACATCTTTATATTATTTTATAGATCGTCTTGATCCAACCCGTATAGGTAATATACTTGCCCATGTCTGGCACTTTTTATAGGTGATTTATTTGACTTGAAAAAAAATCTCAAGAACAAGAATTTAAGACCAAAGATCCAAAGACACGCGTCATTAGGTAAAACAATTTTATATTTTATGAAGACAACACATTTATTTTTTTTCAAGGCTCGAAGGTATTAAAATATTTCTTTAAAAATGAATTTCACTTTAAATAATTGTTTTATTTTAAAACTATTTTTTATTGAAGAACTATTTTTAAAAAAGTGTTTTTGGAGCATTTGTAGCCTAATCCTTGCGTTGGAGAAAAACTTGCCAAAGTTGGCATTTTTGGCCGAGACCTGATTTTGACAATCGATGGGGATTAGACCGTTGAGTTGCAACGGTAAGATTTTTTGTTACTATCGATGGTGACATTTTGACAATCGATAGTTTGGACAGATTTCCTGCAAATCAACTTGTTTTGCACTGATTTTGCTAATCTTTTTCTTACCTTCTTATCTCCCATGATCACAAGCCTCTTTAACTATAAATTGAGGTGATCTAACACTGTTTTAAAATTAGAATTCATCTTCCAAATTCATAGTTTAATTATACATTTTTTTAAATATACTTTATTAAGCTTTTGTTGAGTTTCTTTGGGCTATTCTTGAGAGAAGTCTTCATGTTGTTCATAGAGTCTTATTTGTATCTCTTCATATACTCTAAAAGAGAGTTCAGTTTATAAAGAGAGAGACTTAGAAGATCACTTCTTCTCATTGAGAGTTTCAGTTTGCTAAGAACTTGTTATTTTCGTGGTTCAAGTCTTAAGCGAAGAGTTCAAGCAATGTGAGGTCTTGTAGAGGCGATATCTACGGGCAGTTGTAAGAGTTTGTTAAGCACACCCAGGAGAAACTGCGTACACGAATGAAGCAACATTTTAAAAAAAAATCACAACAGTTGTTTCCAAAAAAAGTAAAATCAGAAGCTTGGTACACGAAATTGATGGAATTGGAATTGGAATTGAAATTGTATGGAATTGATTTCGACGGAGTTGAATTTTCTAATTCCAATTCATTTTTTGCACTACTGATTCCAAATCCACATAGTTTTTTGTGCCATCTAACACCAGAATTGGTGTTGAAGTCTCCAATTCCAATTCCACAGCTTGAATTCCGTGTACCAACCGGAGCCTAAAAGCAATTTACCTGCGTCTGCAGTATGCAGTTAGTGTACTCTATTCCATAATCTACTTTTGCAGTCTCCTTTTCTTGGAATCAGAGATGTGTAACATGAGCTGCACGGAGATTAATCATATGTCTGAGATAAAAACAGGAAGCTTTCTTAAAGCCAAACCAATATAATGATTTCTACACTAACCTTAGTCCCAACATAAAATGTCACAAACATGCCAAGTAAAACCGGTAGCCCTACAAGACACAAAACTTCCATTATAGCATCATGTTTTTTGTCAGAAGAAAGCAAGCTAAGATGATCATAGAGATGAACCTTCTCTTTTAAGGAAGACAGATGTTAACCAGTTGATCCCTGATGGTCCTATCACAAAACCAACAAGATTGGCCACCTACAAGAGCATCATTGTCAATTATTCCCTCTTGAGGAGGTTTCCGTCAATAAAGCAATTGGCTTCTCAATATGGCAGTTTTACATCCGTTCTGTACAGAAAATCCACATGCATACATGATATCAATGTAATAGACTTTCTCTGTCCCGGATTGTTTGTTCATTTTATTTTTTGGTACTTGGACCAAGGACGAGGGAATTTGGGTGTAAGTTGCTCCTATTGTTTTTGGTGGGAGTGAATAAAATGAGGGGAAGCTTGTGAAATGACCTCATACTAGATTTGGCATAATGAATGAGCAGAGTACAAACCATAAGACAAGTGATGGTGACAGCACCAGCAACAGCATTGAGTTCGTAGTATAAGAGCTTGCCAACAGCACTTTCCACCTTGTGAGTATTAACATAGTTAGTCGCTGAACCATATGCAATTATGCATATATACATATAAATAGATCCTTTCTTTGAACAAGAGATGTGCAAAGAGGAAATTATTTGGGCTAGCAAAATGATATCACCTTGAAAGCATTTGCTGTTGATTTTACAACCATTTCAGGTATGAAGAATAAGCATGTCAGCCAAGCCCATGAAAGAAGCTTCCTGAAGAAAAGTGTCAAAGTCTCAAAGAAATCATCAGCAAACCAAAAGATATTCCTTCCGTACCCCAACAAAAAAAGAGTTTTATTTCAAACACTTTTTTTTACCCCAAAAGGAGTCCATTTTGATCAAATGATACTAGAATTTTATGTAATTTGCCAGACTGAGTCATATACAGCTTATATATGATAAATTTAATCAAACCAACAAATAAAACTCAAAATTTAAATTACAAATAGTTTTTTATGACTGATAACAGTTATACTTTACTAAAGTTTATATTTTGCGCATTGGGTTCTTTTTTGGGGACGGAAGGAGTATAACAATATGACAGAAGCAGGTCAGCTAAAACTACAAATTTACCACTCCAGATCATGCCAGATAGCAACAAATGTGAAGATCACCCATACATTTAGCAACTTTCTACCAGAACCCCCAAGAGGAATATACACGTATCTGAAAATTTATAAAATTCTAAGTTAGAAAAATATCAAAGTGTGGGACATTTTAGAGGACAATATCTCAGTATACCACCTGACGAGCCATTTGTTGAAGGAAGCATGCCAGTTTTTCCAAAATGTTTCTAGATTGTAGCAATTATTGATACACCTTGGCATATTCTCAGGTGGCTCGATACCATTTACCTATAATGAGGGAAAAAGTGCATTACATCAAAATTGTGAAAATTTTGAAGTAAAAAATTTAAAAACTGAAAAACGAAGGGCAATTGAAGCTACCAGTGACCAGAGTCGAAAAAAACGCCAGATCAGGAAAAACTTGAGCCACATGAAATTTAATACCTATTATGTCATAAAGAAACAAAAGGATTTCATTGCATGTTCTAGAGATCTAGCAAAGAATGAGATCGAAAATTCCTTTTCATCGATGCACAACCTTTGATTCTGACCAAAAGTTTCAACTTTTTAAGGTTTTGGCTATTAGCCAAGCAGACAGTTAAAGAAATTTACTAAAGCTCAAGGCCAATACTTACTCCGTACCCGATGATGAAGACATCCATTGGAGATAAATATTTCCACATGCCACTAAACAAATAAACACAAAGTTTAAAAATGAAAAAATGTGGTTCTAACTTCTAAGTCAGGTTATCAGAAACTTGATTATTCAACTTTTGAAGTAAACACACCTAACTGCAAAGGCATTGAAGTAAAAGAAATGTGTCATTAGTTCCATAAGAAACAAGCTGAATGCCCAACGAAATCCATAATAAATTACATCATGTGGTAGATAAGTCTTCCGGGGAGCGTCCAACTGTAACAACACAAACAAAACATGGAATTATTTGACAAAGAGTAACTGAATTACAGACTCTTCAACCTACCTAATACTCCAGAAGACTTTTACCTTTTTTGTTGTCCCCCAATAAACTTCACAATGTAATTAATATTTTTATTTTATTTATTAAAATATCTCATCTAGACATCCACACATGCACACAGCTCAAATTTCTTAAACATCATGCTAAAAGTAAAGGTGAAGTTTATTTGGGGACAGAGGGAGTATTCACTTGATCGTTTCTAAAAAATCCAACTTCTATTTTATGATGGAGGTGCTGCTTGCTCTATTAAGGTGGCCATTGCTGCCATTTTTTTAACTTAGATATAGTCATACTTAATCCAATTTGTAACAACATTGGAACATGTCCACCTTCATGGGGTTTTAAAAATATTTGTTCAGGATTGAAAAATATTTAGTGAGCTATAACAGCTCCCTAGACAGTTTTATTGAAATACTTGTAGGGAGGCTGCTTGTCCTTCGCAGAGTCATAGGAAGTGTGACTGTCCCTAGTAGTAGCTATATGCATAGATAAATACCTGATGTATTCCATATGTGGGTGTCCTAATTCAATAAAAGCAATTTCTTATTAAGTGTATTAGCCCACCCACCACTTTCATATGCTCTTGTTTAAAAGGTGAAATGTGATAGATAGGTTTTCAAAAATTATCAATTAGAAATAGAAATCAGCACATCAAAAGAAATTAGTGCATCTTTTAGCAGCATGTTGAGATATGAAATTTTCCTAGCAGTATATAACCCTCACTGTCTAATACCTGGGAAGCAAATGCATTGAAACTAATGATAGGACCAGCGATGTAGAGGGGAGCATAAAACAAATAACACAAGTAGGTAGTAATAGAGAACTTGTCATCCTGCAAGGTTCTCTCCTGCAAAAACAAGATAAATGGGTTGCAACTAAAAGTCTACAAACATGCTGGCTACAATAAAAATAAGAGCAACATTATAATTCATGGTGTGCAATGGACCTGTAAAAGCAGATAGCATGTTCTTCCTGAGGAACAATTTTCACATCGCTGGAGGTGCTTCTGTAGTCATCAGAAACACCAATTACTCATGGAAGAGATGTAACCAAAAAGATTTTGCTTTCAACTGTCTTATTGCAGGCATCAGATTTTATTTGACCAATTATGTACTGATTATGATGAAATTGAGAGCCCTAGGGAATTAATAGCCCATGATTGCAGAGCACTGTTGCTAGGCAGTATCTCCATTCCTGTTGATAGGAAAAAAGATACATTTCACCTGCAATTTGCATTCTCCACAAATCACAATTAGCGGGCACCTTGGTTTCCATAATTACCAAAGATAAATACTACCTAGCTCCCAAAATATGGTTCCTGTTTGACTTTTTAAAGGTCTTCAATGTTTGCCTCAGTATGCTAAACTTCTTGTTTTGATGTTAACAAATACTCCCTCAGTCCCAAAGAGAACTTGACTTTGCCATTTACCATGCTTGAGTAAAATTATTTTCTATTGAATTTATTTAAATATTGGTGTAAAATTTAAAAAAAATTATGAATAAAAAGCAAAATGAAAAATTCTACAAAACAAGACGTGGTTTGACTACGGCTGCATTCTTCTCACCTGATGTGCTTTGTTGAAGATCTGATATGGTCGGATTGTAGTTATATTTAAAGTTATCTTTTATTTAGTGTAATTGGATTTTAGTAAGAATAAGTAATAATTGAAAAGCTGAAAAACTAAGTTGAATCACACATACACACATACATACATACATACAGTCATACATGCATGCCTCCATACATACGTACATACATACACGCAAAAGCACAATTACACTAACACACAAAAATGTTCTTGTTGGGTTTTATTTGTAGTAAAAATAATAGGCGTAATTTTTTGAAAAAAATTATTCGAAATTTCAAAACAATAACAGAAAAGTTGTAGCTCTCTTCAATACGAGAACATCGTTTTTGAAGGGCAATTATTGGACAACACATTGCACTAATTAGAGAGAGCTCACAGAGGTGTCAACTTACAATCGTATACTTTTGGGCGCATTGGCTTAAAGGATTAGATAACTACTCATACACCAATGGTGCATCATTCTTTTCGAGAAACCATTTTGGAAGAAAGTCAAGAAAGCCAAAAGTTAAGTTGTTTGGCTTATGAGTAAAGACAAGTATGCCAGAAAGGCATTGGGTGGTGATTTGGAAAGACGTTGGGTGGTGATTTGTTAAGCCAGCTATTAATCCTTAGGTGGTGGTTGGCGGGCCGCGGTCCAACATCCAGTAAAACACTTTGGTTATTAATATTTTTATTTATGTAAAACTATTTTTAAAAAAATATGAATATTAAGTTTACATTATAATTCAATATAACTTTTCTGAATTTTATGATCACAGTTTGTAAATTTTTCCAATAAAAAGTCAAACGGGAACCTCTTTTATTAGATGGAAGGAGTAGAAAAATTGACCACCTATGCATCATCGGGATTCGAGAAGAATGCTTACTTCCACAGCCATATTTAATGAGGGAATAACTGCATATACATTTTTCTTTATTTTTGTCTTTTAGCAATGTTTCATAGAATCATATTTATTACTTTTGAAATGTTGTATTGGATTCAAAGTATGCAGTATGTACAAAATACAACAGGTTCAAAGCAACATCAGGCATCACAAAACCTTCGCAAAAATAAAAAAAATAAAAAACAGAAATACCTCTTCGTCAAAGTGCTTGCTTTTTTCTGCCCAGTGGTAGTCATATCCAAAACTAAGCATTCGCAGGACCACTGCCAAAAAATATAAAATCAAGGGGTTTTGAAAATCAAAATCAGAAAGTTTTTCAGCCTATATTGAAAAGAATTATATCAGACTGCCTTCGGATAGGGGGATTTCATTTGAAACATAAACTGTTAATTCCATATTTTAAATCCTGTACTTAGATTTTCAGTTCTTTGTTTGGCAATCACATAAGATTCACAATTCTAGAATTGCAAATCCAAATCCTGTTGGGCAAACCTCAAGAATTTTAAATTTGCAAATCCCTTGGGTTTGAACATTGAAGTCATTTAGAAGTCCAGAATTTCTACTTGTTAAAAGTGAAAACATGATATGGGTTGGGCCCAATTGCAAATCCTAACTCCATAACTTCTCAAACAAAATTTCAGTCAACTCTAGATCAACACATGAAATGCTAATATCCAACAGAGCAAGTTAACTGTCATTTCAACTCTGCATTTTCTTTATAATAAATGGATCATGGTTATATTTTCTTTTGCCATCATATTGCTTAAGCAAGCATTAAGGAAGATATGTTAAAGAGGTTACTGGATAATCTTTTATTTTCAGAAGGATCCAATGTATTGATACAAATGTAGAGACAAACATTAAATCCTTTTGAAGAGTACACATGTATAGAATAAAACTTGTCATCAAGTTTTGCAAAATGCTAGCCAAGTTTTAATGGAATTGCAATATAACTATATAGGTATAATCTTCCCATCTAAAATTTGTCAACATATTAAAATGAAGAGAGTAAGTCAAAATGTCACAAGTAAAATCAGACATAAAATGCAAGTGACTCCAAATGAAAGAGGAAAACGATGTACCAAAATTAAAGCAGATATGCCACCTTACAGTTCCTCGGTAATTGTCCAAGTAAGCCCAACGTTGCCTATGCCACGAGTGAAAATAAGAGAAGTACCAAAATACGAACTACTCCCTCCGTCACACTAAAATCTTCATGGTTGCCATTAAGACTTTCAACCGTATCTAATTTTTTACACATATTCATTGATCATTTCTCAAAATACAAGTCAAGCCACATCTTGTTTGTAGAACTTTTGATGTAGTCTTTAAATATATAAATTTTACTTTTAAATTATACACCTATTGAATTGAAAATAAATTCAAATATTGTAAACCCGTAAAGTGAAGCTTTCTGCTGGAGGGAAGGAGTAATAGATTTTATGGAACATAGAGTTTGTATCAGAAAAATATCTCACCCAAAAGTGGAGAATGGATATCCCTCATACACTCGGTTACATACAAGAAAGGAGAGATTATATATCCACAACACAAAAGCATATTTTGTCCTTCCGCATATCTACAAAACAAATATTAATTAAAACGAGATGATTTTTATGTTATTATTGAACTCTTTAGTCTCAGCTTAAGATTTTACACAATAAAATAACAATGATGATGCATAGACTATCAAATTATTGCTACGACCGATGAACTATAGAGCTAGAATCCTTGTTGGAAACTTATTCTCTCTCAAAAATTACAATATACTCACAAAACATGCAAAACCTAAATGAAGAAATAAAGCAACCAAAAAGCGCATGATACTCACCTTTACTATAAAATAATTGGTTGAAGCAATCAACAAGACATACACGATGCTGCAATTAACATTTTAAAAAATGAATTAATGATTAAAATATAATAAAAATCCAGCAAAGAGCATCCAACATATCATGTTCAAGAAAGATTAGCATTAGTGAAGCACGTACCAGGCACCATGGAGATATGATAAGTAAGCCATTGAAATGAAAAGCCAGATAATGGACATCCCCTTTGCTTTTAGACCATATGATCTAAATACAGTAGCTACTACAGTAAATACTACGAAAACCAATGTAAGAATTGGTAAGTTCCCCCGAAAGTTCCTCCATTGTGCATCAGAAGCATCCTAGCAAGAGAATCAGTGAAGTAAGAAAATCCATTCAATATCAAAAAGGTATTATCTCACTCAAATTTCAATCAACATTACAAATACAAGCTGCATATATACCATGTGATAACATGTTTTGAAGCCTCCTTTCACAATAGACAAGTTACAAAGAATCTCACAGTAATCATTGTCAATAGCATCTCAAACTATCACATCTAAGCTTTGTGAATTCAATTAACATTACCTCAAGATGTCAACGAATGCTGTTTGCACCATTTTTTTAGCATCTAAGTATTGGAACAACACCTAAAAGCAAATCTCGCTGGAAAGGATATTTATGCAGCTAAGTTAAAGCTATGTCTGGTTCAAAGGAAAGGAGGCATATTAATATTTCTTATCTGGATCCGGAGGGGAGGGGAGCTAATTTTAACTTGACAACAATGACGGGTTTTCCTATTATTTGTATTTGTATTTAGTCCATTACTGGTCAAAAGCTAAAACATTGTCAGCGATGACTATGTTAGCTCCATTGGTAATGGATGGGTTTTGTAGTATAAAGCAACATATGATAAAACTATAAAAATAGGAAGCTGTATCAAGCCCAACTTTTTTGGGATTTTACTAGGTTGCTTGTTGTATGAAGCTATGTCATTGATTGGTGTGCAAATCCTGACACAATAAAACAAACATGTCAGCTCAATTTTCATTTTGTTTTTTTTCAGCGAAAAGTGAAGCTCAATTGCCTGCCTTGATTCATTATTACACACACATTACAAGAATCCATTAAAATCCCATGAATGGGGTCTGGGGGTATAAGCAACCTTACCCTTATCTAAAAAATATAAATTGTTTCTGAAAGACCCTAGGTTCGTGCACAAGAAGCACAAAAGAGCGCACCAAGCATATATCAAAAACAGTTCTATGGGGAAATGAAAAAGAAAAGACAAAGGCACCTGAGTGACCTGACTATATGCATGTATCTAACTAGTTCTGGGGACCCAGAGCAAAGGGAACCGCTCATGTGTAGGTCTACTCTACAACTTTAATCTAAGGTCATGTCCTCGGTGAGTTGCACATAGCGCAAGTCCTGTCTAATCACCTCACTGAAACTCTTTTTTGGTCTACCTCGACTGCTCCTCAAGTCATATCTAAGCTACCTATAACCCATGTTGCACGAATTCTTCAAATAAGTCTCCCTTCTCGCTCTCGAAACGTCCCGGTTCGGGTACTTTGAGACGTCCATCCACCCAAATCCTTTGTAAATTTTGAAAAAATTGGTGTCCTCATTCCCATCCCTGTATGAGTACCCATCCATGTCTCTATGCAAATTAGCCAATAACTATATGTATACATAATCGTGTGTGTATCAAACAATAGGTAGCTATATCTCTTCACCAGTTCAGTGTCCAACTACAATTTTTAACTGTTAAGTGTCCAACTACCATAAAATGACATTATTTCTTGCCCTTCAGTAAACCCTATTTTTAGGGGCAACAAAAGGGGAGGAGAAGAGAAAAACGGGTACCTACCCTCCCTTCCATTTTCCCAACCAAATGAGATGAATCCCTCCCCTCCCCCCCCCCTGCATTCAATAAAATTTGAAACAAACGATGCATAAAGGGTTCAACATATAATAAATTACATTTAGTCTGCGGATGATCCCACTGTGCCGCAATCCATGAAGCTGGGTGTAATGATCTGCAATTGCAAACTAACCCATTCAGTTCATCTAAAGAACATAAAAGGGAAAATGAAAATCACATTTCCATTTACACACACAATTCGTGTACCATGGGAGAGCTGGAGTGCGCGTCGGATGATGATTGCATAGAAAACTAGAGCATAGAGAATGAGAAAGGGAAGCTCTTTCCGATGCCAAGAGCTCTTCATTATTAGAAACACAAACACTCTCTGGTCACTGGCTGACTCGAAAAATCTCAAAGTGTGATCGAAACCAATGGCAGGCTCACTGAGGAAATTTACCGAACAGTTGGCGATAAAGATCCAAAATTACTACCAAACATTTCTGATCAGAAGCAAAAAAATTATGAATTTGAGCTTGAGAACAGGATTAAGGGATAAATTTGTTCCTGAAAGAGCGTACATGCAAACGGCGAGTCGTCGCCGGAGCTGACAATGGGGCGATTCCGGCTGTGAAAACAAAAAAAAAAAGAACTTACAAGTTACAACTCGTTCCTCCTATTCTAATTGGTCAATTTTTGCAATTCTTTGATCCAAAATTAAATACTACGAGTACTTAAGTAAAAAAATATGTAGTATAATTTTACACAACTAAATATTAAAAGAATTTGAAGAAAAAATCTTGAGGAACACGAAATTACACCTCATTTTTTCCCCAAATGCCTGCACAGGTATTACAGACATAAAATAACGTTTTATGTCTGCGATGTTTGTAAAGGCATCAAGGTCAAAAGTGAGGTGTGACTTGAGACTTGAGTCCATGACTCAAATAGTCAAATAAGATATATTGAAATATATTTTGAAATGAATCCAACTTAACTAAATTGATGCTATAACTAAAAATATATATTTTCATAATTTGTAGTTAGCGTGTAACATAATTTGACCAAAAAAATAAATTGTGATGATCTTTTTTGAAATGATGAAGCATGACTATAGTTGTCTTTTACATGATCACAATAATAATACTTTCTTCCTATTAAAAGACTCAAAATTTCTTTTCTATCAACAGCCTAAATCTATTACCACTGTGCAAGTAGGCAACGTGTCAATAACTTTTTAAGGTACTCTGTTCGCAAAATTAATGTCTCTTACAACCTAACTCCTCCTATCCTCCCCCTGCCTAATTACCTAATGACCACACATTTGGAGGGCGCACAAAAGGGGCTGGGTGGAGAGTATACTACTTTAGTGACACCATTGCCAAGTGCCAATGGAATTGGGCATGTCCGTTAATTAAGGTTCAACACTGATGCATGTCATCCGTGTGTCCACGTTCATGTAGTACTCCGTGAGTCCGAGCATTTCATTTCTTCAAATAAATGCTAACGAAGAAATATATTTAGGCCTCATTTAGTACATGTAATTAGAATTGAATACAAATTAAAAAATTTTAAAACTGAATTAGATAGAATTAATTCTAATTTAATTTAAAATCTATTGTTTGGTATCATTATAAAATTGATATAGAATTGTATTCTATTTTCAAATCCTTTGTTTCATAATACAAAATAGCATATATAGAATTGATATGAAATTATATTATAATTCTAAACCCACATCTATATATTTTTGCGCCACCAAATCTACACATTTTTGGAATTGATATGCAAAAAAATTTGGAATTAGAATTTAATTCCAAATTTACATATACTTGTGCTGCCAAACAAAGAGTATAAAAATTAAAGCCTCTAATTCTAATTTCATGACCTAAATTTTGTATATCAGACGGAGCCGTAGGGTAATATACCAAATGGATTTGACCAATTCCAATTAATTTTCTAAATAATTAAAAAATAATTAACGTTTTTTCACCAAAAAGGATGAAAAAACAAAAATTCATATCCTAGACGACCAAACAAAAGAAACTAATTACTCCTCCCTATTGTATTTTTCTTCCATTTAAAATCATGTAAATACCCATTTTAAAGTCAAAATCAAACCTTCGCAAAATATGTTAACTATGAGTCTCCCAACTCACTCCATCCATATTTAATCTTTCTATTTCAATTTAAGATATTTGAATGAAACCATTTTTAATTGATTTTCTAAATAATGACATAAAATTTAAATATAAAATGTTTATACAGGACTATTTAGTAACTAGCTCAATATTAATACAAAATAAAATTGACACATGATTATCTTATTTTAGAAAATGACTAAAAAAAATAGAAAATGAAATTAATATGATATTTTTCGACCTTACTAATAGTAGTAAATGAGAAGCTAGGAAAAAAATAGGGGTACTTTTAATCAACATATGAATAATAATACAAAATGCACTAATCAACCAAACATGTTAGTATAACACTCCCACAATCTTCACCAAACACATTTCGAACACATTCCACTGATTCAGTGATCAAGTGTCTCCAAGAATCTGACATTCCCTATAGTTAATAGGACATTCCTTGAACCCAAGGGCTCAAGAATTTCAGTACACAGTAGGCAAATCATCCTCAACCATGTCAATGAGGCCATAAAATAACAGAAAACAAAATGGATGATGCAAAAACATCAGAATAAAGCTAGGGTAACCCCCCTACATTTTAGGGTTACCATGACCCCCAAGCTTCGGACAGACAATAACTGTCAGTGCTGCATGGACATTTACTGTCTGTGCAAAGTTTGGGGCCACGGTAACCCCAAAATGTTGGGGTTACCCTAGCGCGACTCAAAACATTATTTGGTTTCATAATCGTTAACTCATCCGTTCGTCCAGACTAGACTAGAAAATGGTGTGAACTTACTCTTGCAGGGCTTTCCTAGCGGCATCCTCATCGGCTTTCATCTTCCTCTCCCATCTTCTCTTCCTATAATCTGCCAACATTTTGGGCATTTGCTGCATCAGTTCAGCTGTCTTTGCTCGCTTCTCCGCTGCAATTCTGTCACATTTGTGCCCTTTCTGCTTCTTTCTCATTTCCTTCCTTTCTGGATCGAAAGTCCAGTCCTGCCCAGCGAGTAGAACTTCTTTGCGAAGCCGGGCCCGCCTACGAGCACTGATGCCTAGCGGTTTCCATGCTCCAAGTTCCCAATAGCCCCAAACACCCTTTGACAGTTCATTCTTGTACTTTGCCATCTTCTCTTGCAATGGGTATTGGTACTCTGAAACTGCTTTTGCTACAGATTTTACTACCTTCCCCGCCATTACTCTTGCTGGAAAAGATGCACAAAACTGGTGGTTAAGAATGCAAATGTAGAACACGGTAGCCAATTCACAAATATCCCACAGAAAATGTCTTTAAGCTGGATAATAAACAAATATTCGTACATAATAATTTTTCAACTTTGAAGGAAAAAAACTGCATACGTATCAAATCGAACACTAGCCAAGGGAACTAACAGCGTTAGCCTAAACATTTTGAAAATGTTATTCAATGGTAGTGTTTGGCTTTAGCATTTTTAGGCTTCATCTGAACCAATAAAAAAAAATATCCAAAACGCTACCCAAAATAGCCAAGGGGACTAACAGCATTCATATTCAGACCCTCACAAACTGAATACTCTGTACTTTTTTGTTTATTGTATAAATTCTCCTTTCAAATTGAATGAACACTTCAAAAGAACATGCTTTGTCAGTGGATATGCTATGAATATCTGAACAAAATGGAAAATGCACATGTCAAGCATGCTATCATTCAACATGATAACGTAAAAGTACAATTAAAAAAATAAGATAACGGGAAAAGAGGAGAAGAAGAAGAAGAAGAAGAAAAGGCATTGCTGCATAATTTATCATGCTTTTAAACTATAGGTGTTGTTGCAGAACCCAAAAGTCCAAGATTAGAACACAAAATAGTGTTTTAAATGACTTTATGACATTCTTCTATGTAAGAAAAATGCAAAGATTCATTGTGCATTCACTTCCACCTCAGGGCCTCTAGGAATGAGTATGTGGTAGATTATTAAATATCATCAACAAGGAAAAGGTGAAGTTCGCAAAGTCTGTTTTCTATGCAGGAGTCTGAATCCTTAGCGGACCTACTTTCTCCGCTTTTGCAAAAAGAATGCATAGGTGTGAAGGCCATTAGAACATAAAGTAACTACAAAACTACTTGGAAAAATGTAGGATATATCCATAGGCAGCTCTTCTGCACCGATGTGTAATCATCCAAAGAATACGACAAACATACGATAAAAACATGCCCCATTGGTAATAAAAAAACTGAAAGCAAGGCTTAATATATATCTCAATACTAACCCATATCTCCCCAAATTTTCAGTTTCCAGCATGCCCTACACGCACACACAATGCTGTTCGCTCTGCCATTTTTACCGAAAAAAGAAAAGTATCATGGATAGAAGTAACCTTTCTAAGAGAAAGGGAGATCATATGTGTGCTTTAATTTTTACTAGTGTTGTATTGTTATCAAAAAAATGTAAAGCGGGCAAAACAAAAAAATGCAAGCTTTTTAAAATTTATCCCAACCCATTGAATGGAGGGGTGAAACACCAAATGAGCATCTCTGCATTAAATTTTCATTTGTTTCACCAATATAAAAAAATCTAAAATCTTGCAGATTTCCTAAGGTGATATCGTAGACGATATAGAAAAATAAAATACAAGAATACTAATGTAATGCGTGATTAGAAACTCATAGAGTCCTCCAAGTATTGTTTTAAATGACGAAGTGAAGAACACATACTCCCTCCATCTCAGAAAGGTTTTCCGTTTATTATTCCAAGGTCAAACTTTAATGACAAAGTGACAAACACATACTACCTACGTCCCAGAAAGGTTTTCAGTTTATTATTCCAGGATCAAACTTTAAATACTTCGCTTATCTTCACTACTCGTTTGATAAAATGATATAATCTTGTCATCTCTTGTTTTGTAGAATTTTGATCGTAGTTAGAAAATACTCCGTATAAATTATTCTTTTTACCTCAAATTTCATATAAATTGAACTGAAAATAGTTTCAGTCAACAATCATCATTTGGAACAATATGCTTCCTCCATCCCAAATTATTTGCCACATTTGCTTTTTCAACCGTCACGGAAACTTTTGTTTATTTGAACGTTTTCATTGCTTATTTGATAAAAATAATATTCTTGACACCTCTTATTTCGAATAGCTTTTCATGTAGTTTTTAAATATGTAAATTTAATTTTTTATTTCTATGCCAATATTTAAATAAAATGAATAGAAAAAACTTGATATCTTGCCTCGTTTTTAGAAATGTGGTAAACATTTAGGGACGGAGTAGTTGGAATTTATGTACTCAGTCTACTCACAATCTTTCTTCTCCTGTATTTAAGTTTCAATTATCCATTTCTTACTTTTCAATACTTTTCTTAAACTTCGCTAAGTCTCAAACACACACTTATTTTGGGACGGATGAATTGTGTGTGTAAATACATAAATATATGTATATAGCCCAATTAGTGTGATATAAAAGACGCAATTAGGCATTATACATCCAGATAGAAACACAATTAGCAATTGCTTTTCAATTAGCTCCGTCCCAAAATTGGGCTAATTGAAAAGCAATTACTAGTAATGATAACGAAGCTAATACACATATCAAAGACGCAAAACGATCCCAGAGTGGTATTTCATGCGCAATTTCGAAAATATAGCCCTAATCTGATCAGATTTCGAATTCCGAAAACCTAAGAACTCATTAATGATAAAAACAATATATCATCTACTTACTGTTTTTCTATCTGGACGATTGAAACGAGAGAACAATTTCTGTTCGAGAATTGTTGATGGGGTTGGGAGTTGAAGCAGAGAAGCCTGGAGATGGAATGTAGAAAAGAGAAATACCTGAGATTGGCTGCGTGAAGAAGAACGGTGAACAGTCGAACGGGAAGAAGGCCGGAGGAGCTAACAGGGCGAAATCGTAGTGGGCTTCATCTATATGTAAAATGTAAAGTGAGGCACCCCAATCTCCTTATGCAAACCGGCCCGATACTAGAGTTGGATTGAAAAATTATAGCACATATAAAGTGGATTTTTTTTTTTGAAAAAAAAAAGTGGAATTATTCCTACAATAATTTTTTATGCAATAATTGTTATGATATTCTTATCTTTTAAATTCGACTGTTTTTTTAGGAAATCCCCATTAAAATTGAGAGTTATTATAATTTTACAAGCTTACTCACCATATAAAAATTTTAAAAGAATTCAAAGTCGTCTCATTTGAAAGCATTGTGATTTCATGATTATAAGGTTCGCATGTAAAATATAAATCTTTTTATACTTTATATGGGCTGAGATGAGAATCTTATATGAGTATTTTTTAAAGAGCTCAATTTATTCATGATATTTATATACTAAGGTCCATAAATGATGTTTAAATCTTAGGAACACAGAAGAATTTGTCACATTGTTTACTCGTAACTTATGACAGAGTGCAATTTTGGAGTTGAGCCCAATAAAATACTTGTATTGCTTTTGGACTTGATATTAAAATTTTATTTGGTTAGAGGTTGTAAGTTTTAATTCATTCCCAACACTTTCTGTTTAAAAGGAGGGATGTATACAAAAACCTTTTATTATAAACATGCTAAAAACAAAGGAAAATGCTTGGTTCACAAACAAAATAATCACAAACTTACTATTTGTGAACTTCAATAAATAAAATTAATTAGTCTAAAATAATTTTAAAATGAAAATTTAAATCATAAATAGTAAGTTTGTAAATTTGTGAGTATCCTATTTGTGAACCTAGCATTGCTCACAATTTCTTTTAAGCAATCAACTGTCAACTCAAACTTTGATTTGAATTACAATCTCATTACCTTCACAAGGGCTCATTGTGGTGGCTTTACTTAGGGTTTAAGATAAGGCCTTTCTTCATGCTTGGTAGCTTTCCCACCAAAAATTGATTAATAAATCAAATAACCCCCAAACATTTCCACCATATCCATTTTGAATAAATCTATAATGTCGGTGAGGTATAGTTCAGCGATTGGCATAAGACATAAAGGAGAGATCTTGATCGAGTACGAAACTTAGTAGCTGCAACGAGAGACAACCATGTAAAGCATGAAACCTCAACAAGTACCAGACACAACATCTCACCCCTACGACAACTAACTGAGATTATAGCTCAATTTATCTTTTCTCGGCTAACTAGCGGTGATGAGAATCGTTTGGGATATCAGTTCATCCTTTTTTATGATAAATTATAGCCGCACTCATTTTTAACATTACATACGAAGTATATTTCACGGATAAAATAAATGACAAAGATAATATTATCTTCGTCCTAATGTACTTGTCCAGTTTGACTTTTTTTAAATCAAACTTGATAAACTGTGAGATTCAATTACTTTCGATTTATATAACACTAGTATAAACCCCGTGCTTCGCAGTTCGCACAGGTTTGAAAATATTCTAAACTTTTAATATTCTACTTTTTATTTTCATTACTCATTTGATGAAATAATATAGTCATGTCATCTATATTTTTTAAAAACTTTTGATGCAGTTTAAAATATAAAAGTTTTGTTTTTAAATTTCACACTTAATCAAACAAATTGAATTTTAAATAACATCGGTCAAATCTCATAAATTGAGAAATTAGTTTTAGGACATAGGGTGTATAATAAAATAAATCTAAAGTTTTTAAATATATATCATATTCGGAGTAGTTAATAAACATGCTTTTGTAAAAGAGTCAATAACACTACAAAAAAGATGCATATGTGATAAATTAATAAAATTGCTTTTTAGAAGTAATAGAAATATAAATTATGGATTATAAAAATAACTTATTTAACATATTTAAATTAATGAAATTAGTTTTCGAACTTTAAAATATATTACAATGATGAAAATATAATACAAAAAAAATTAGAAAGTGAAAGTTTATAAACTGAAGGGTAGGAATTTATAAAGTTTAATAAAAATAGTGATTAATTAGTATAAAAATTAATACGCACGCATGATATGCCACGTGACATGTGATACACATGTGGCATGACACGTGTTACAAATGTACACGTGTGGTGTGACACATGTCGTTACCGCATTTAAGCCGCTCAACTTTATATAGTACAATGAAATAAACATTTGAAAGTTTTCAACTAGATTAATGAAATAAAATACTCAGTAATTTTTATATTAATATACATTACATGTTTTTTAATTGAAGCTCAAAATTTATTATGTTTGATTCAAAAAAATTAAACTAAACATGGACACTAAGACAGAGCAAATGCTTATCTATATACTCTGTAGTCCGTACGTTAAATAAATAATACTCCCTCCGTCCCTGAAAATCTTTCTTCTTTCTTTTTTCATCCATCACAAAAAACATTTCTCATATCTATTAAAAAGTCGCTTTTACTCCTTACTTTTTCATATCCTACCTATCACATCATACCTTTTTACTAATAGTCTATCCATCAAATCATACTATTACGCATCACGTCAAAGGACATTTTTGAAATTCAATTTCAAAATGGACTCCATTTAAATCTCTCTTCAAAATCAAAACTCTCATATTTTTTGGGAGGGATGGAGTAATTATCAATGTAGCATTGTGCATCCATTTTTCTCCCATTAGATGGCATCTTACCTGCCCCCACAGACACGTATATATAAATACACTGCCCAACCACTTTCCACCATCTCCCACAAAACCTCTCTTCATCTTCTTCCTTTTCCCAAATCAAATCTAAGATTAATCACTAGTCTTATCTGATATATACTCCCTCCCTACATTATATTAGAGACTCTTCTCTCTGCCTACCTTACATATATACAGGAACTTGATCAAGAACAAATAAAGCAATATATATCTATCTATCTTTATATGAATGGCTTGTTTAGGGAAGATGATAGCAGCAGCAGTTATTGGTTTCATGATTCTTGGAATAGCTTCGGCCTCTGATCCTGATATGCTCCAAGATCTTTGTGTTGCTGATCTCACCTCAGGTATTATATATATATATATATATATATATATATATATATATAAGCTTATTTTGTTAGCTTATTTTCATCACTTTTATGATAAAAACAAATTAATTTCACTTCTAGTTTTATAAATATTTTGATATAGTTTTTAAATATATAAATTTCATTTCTAACTTTTATATAACTTTGTACTAAATTGTATTAAAAATAAATTCAGTCCAATATCATAAAATACAACATAAACTCCTTTGACTTCACAAAATTTAAGAAAAATATTGAATAAGTCAAAAGAGAGTGTTTTAAAAATAATCCCATATGTTTAGAATTTAGATAAATTGACAAAGGAGATAAATAATATTACTCCTGTTTAGTTTGATTGGATAAGTTTCTTAATAAGACTTTAATTGCGTGATTAAAATTTATATTTAAAAAAATGGGCCAAAGAAGCTGCATTATCTTCGTCATATATATATATATATATACATACATATATATATATATGTATGTATGTATATATATATATATATATATATATATATATATATATATATATCCCATTTCATCACCACTTATTTGAAGTTAAAGTCTTTTCTATAGCTCGATCTTTTGGAATGAGTTTTAGACCCAAGTATCTTATTTGAAGGGTGTTTTAGTCTATTTTGACCAAGCATTTCATCATTTTCTGGGGTCTTGTTCTTTTAAGAGAATGAATCACCCTAAAAATCTTTATGCTATAATATGACATTCAAAATTCTAGAAACCGAGCATGAGTGGCTGTGGCTTTATACATGACAATTGCAGATGATTTATACATAAACAGACAATAATTGTCTGTATGTGTATATATAAATCATCGGTGATTGTGTAAAACACGCGTGGTGAGGTCCTGTCATTATCATATGACATTAAGATTCAATGAAATTTGGGATAGATAGATATTGTATTAGTCCCTAAATGAACTATATGGATATCAAAAGTAGACAAAATCTCAAATTTTTTTATTTAATTTATTTAAAATTTAGAGATGGAGAGAGTAATTGTTTCTTGATTATTGGATGTGGGTATAGATGTGAAGGTGAATGGATTCGCGTGCAAGAAGAACTTCACGGCGGCGGATTTCTCGTCAAAGGCGTTGGCCAAGGGCGGAGCAACCAATAACACGGTGGGATCAATCGTGACTCCGGCGAACGTGGAGAAAATCCCCGGTCTGAACACCCTCGGGATCTCCATGTCCCGGGCGGACTACGCGCCGGGAGGGTTGAACCCGCCGCACACGCACCCACGCGCCACCGAGATCATCTTCGTTCTCGAAGGCGAGCTGGAGGTGGGATTCATCACCACCGCGAATGAGCTGTTCACGAAGCGCCTCACCAAGGGCGAGGTCTTTGTGTTCCCCAGGGGGCTTGTCCATTTCCAGAGGAATCCCGGGAAAGTCCCGGCCGCCGTGATCGCCGCCTTCAACAGCCAGTTTCCGGGAACGCAGTCGATCGCCGCCGCCCTGTTCGCGGCGGCGCCCGCCGTCCCCGATGAAGTGTTGACTAAGGCTTTCCGAGTTGGGACGAAAGACGTGAAGAAAATCAAGTCTAGATTCGCACCAAAGAAGTGAACAAAATTCAACTCTGGACCAATGGTTCAATCATTGTATCGTACTTTATTTATTCTTTGCTTTCAATTTGTTGACAATAATGAAATTAAAAGTTCCACAGTTCATAACAACAATTTTTGCACCCAAATATAACGACACGTTTGAGAATATACTTAGAGATAAGCATCATTGTTTTGAAAATGTTATCAATAGACAACGTTTAGCATTAGCATTTTTAATCGTTAAGATTTTATTCAAAAGACTGACGCTAATGTTTAACGAAATTCCCAAATAGGTCCAAAGGTACCTTGTGAAAATGCATTTTATTTTAATTTCAAAGTTTAAAACTTTAAACCATAAGAGATGCATACATTTATATATAATTAAAAGACACTAATCCTTAATTAAAAAGACACTAACAACTCATTTCATCATCCATCCATTCATTCAATTATTAATACGTCCAACTTTTAATTTACTTTATTCATTATTTTAAATAAGTCGTACTCCATATTATGGAGTATATTTTAAAACTAGTTTTCTACCCC